TTCCTCGCTCCAACCAAACCGCGTGGATAATGCAGTTAAAGAATTCACCAACAATCCCCAAAGATCAAAGGGTCCGATCCAGCCATCCAGTCTCGCCCTCGTCACATTTTTTCATCAGTTTCCATTGAAGTTTGTCACATTTGATATGCTACGTGTGAGCGTCTCCTTTCTGTCTGTGGAAACAGCCGTGTTTGCATAAAAAAAAGCTGATGAAACTGTGCAGAAATCTTCACATGACTGACAAGTATCACATGTGCATGTCTTCAAGTCGTCTCCCACTTAATCACATTGATCACACCAGCGGCCTCTCACCAGCACCTAGTGTCTTCGTACGTCTACTTCAGGTTTGTTCACGTTAGCTGGCGACTTGATGTAATATCTCATATTTGATCACGTCTAGGAAACAACAGTTTAATCAGACTCACGAGGCTCTGCAGCGTCCTGCCAGTTTAGGGGAGGGTTGTGATTGAGCTCTCGTTCATATTGTTTACAGATCTTATATATTCTCGCATCGGGAAACACTCTTATTTTAGCACTTCAGCCTCAGGAGTGTTTCGGAGGACTTTGGGAGCTCCTCTCAGCTCAGGGCCGCAGGCTATTCCCTGCTTTGCCCTTCTTGTTGCAACGCCTCCGCTAAAACTAATGCAGTAGTTCTGCAATAAATCCTTCTCTGATAATGTTGTGTTTTTGAAACTATCCCAAACAAACTGGAGTCTAAGAAGCAGCGGGACAATATGCCCGGGTACAGTGGGTGTGAGACACTGGGACAGACACACGGAGCTTGGTTCAGAAAATGTCCTTTGGAAAAGTTGTTTGGTTGTGAAGGTTGATTCCTCCTGATCGGACACTGACCTCCTCGACTGTCACCACGCACACCTTCTCTCTTTCTGTGATTCTGTTCTTCACTCTCCTCTCGTGTTACCTCCATCTCCTTCCTTTTCATCCCCTTTATCTTTTAATCTTTTTTTGTCTGTTTGCATCTCTCTCTCTTTCTGTCTCTCTCCCCGACATCAATGAGAAATTGGATGGTTTTTGATTATTACATGGCTGTCAGGCTCACTGCTATTAATTGAATTGAATCCCAGTCCATCCCCTTCACTTCTCTGTGCCCTCTCCTCCCTCTGTCTCCCCCTCGCTCTCCTTTTCATCTTGTCTCTCTCTCATTTTCTTCCTTGTTTGTCATGTTTTTTTGTAATGTTTTTTTTCGTCCTCTTTTCCCGTCTCTCCTCCCGTGTCTCCCGTGTCTCCCTTGTCTCTCCTTTTCTTCCCGCCTCTCTCAGTCTTCCACCTCTTTCATTCTCTTTTCCTACAGGCTTCTTTTCATCCTCTCTTCCCCTCTCTCTATCTACATGCCCTCTCTCACTCTTCCTCTCTCTGTCTCACTTATTCCTCTGTCTCTCTTGTCTGTCCCCCCCCCCCCACCCCGCTCTCATTCTCCGTTCCTGGCTCTCTCACTCCTTGAGCACTGTGATACTGTTGTCATGGTGACGCCCATCATTTTCTGGCATGAATGGAGGATACTTTATTGATGAGATGGCATGGCAGAGGGAGAGAAAGGGAGAGTGATAGAGGGAAAGATAGACAGAGAGAGGGAGAGAGAAACCACTGGCAGGGAAAATCAGAATGATACGGAAATGATCGTCCCCGCTGCAAAAGATACAACCCTGTAATTTGTCGAGCACTAATGACTCAAAGAGGACATTGCAAGCCAAAGCACGCTGAATTCTCTCTGGGGGTTTGGGACAGTCGACGCTGCTGAAGAATACCCCCCCCCCCCCCCGAAACACTGTTATTCGTCTTTCCCAACGTGAGAAGTCTGAGGGGAAATTCCTCTTATTAGGAAGCAACAAGCTGGCTTCAGCTGTGCCGCTGGTTTCCCATGTTTAATGATTTGTGCTGCGTAAACACGGCAGCATAATGAAATGTGTTTTTTTTTTTTTTAACTCCGCTAACATGAGCGTTGGCGTTTTCTGGGGTTGGGTGGACGTTTGTTATGAGCTTGTCGTGGTGTGCTGTTTGCACACAGCGCAGACTGGCGTCGCCGTCGAAAGCAGAAGGCGAGCTCGTTAGACACTTCTGATGTAGATGTCACATTGAGACGCTTGGCACAGCAGATGAAGCACTAAATTTGGCTGACACCATAAAACTGAAATATAGAAATCAGAGCCAGATTTTATTGTCGAATGCATAAATACTCCAGATTTAAACAATAGAGGCTGTTACACCTACATGGCTCGGATCATTGTAACACTCAGCCACAGAAGTGGGATGACATGCGTTGCCGGTGCTGTCAAGGCCTGCACAGACAAGAAGGCGTTCGACATGGTGTGTGTGTGTGTGAAGACACGAGGTCGATCTAAGCTAACATGTGTTTGATCTCTGACCTTTGCTCCACAGTTCACCTGCTGTCAGAGACGATCCAGGGGGTGACCGCCACGGCCACCGGGGTCCAGTACCAGCAGTCCTGGCTCTGCATCCTGTAAGCTGAGGCGTATGTGCATGTAGCATGTTAGCTTTAGAGATGAGGTGATTCAGTCAAAAGCAGATTAGCTTAGCGAGGGAAGATTTATTTAATTAAATATAATGTGCAAAAATACATTTGTTGGTTTAATTCAATCTAAACTCAATATAATAACTTCATTAGCCTCTGGAAGGATAAGCACCGAAAATGATGAAAACCATATTTGAGAAAAATGAATTTGATATTTATTTAGATTTTGAGTTTAGTCAGTGTCCCATCCACTGACACGGAGGAGGCCGGGTTTATGAAAAAACAGAATCAACAATGTAAAGATATATTTGTTTTCACTGAACAGCAAGAATGTGTGAATGTGTTGCTGCATGTTTTCATTCATGTGATATTTGAATCTTGTGTGAAATATATGTGTGTCTCTGCTTTAACTGTGTGTGTGTGTGTGTGTGAATGTATTAACATATACAGGTGTGTGTGTGTGTGTGTGTGTGTGTGAATACTGTGTGCACATTTGAATACCGTCTAACTGTTGCTGGACAGAAAGAGGTTAATCTATGGAAATGAAGGGCGATGCCGGCAAGGTGATCTGTTGACATTTATAAACTGCCTCCTCCTCCTCTTCCTCTTCCTCTTCCTCCTCCTCCTCCTCCTCCTCCTCCTCCTCCTCCTCCTCCCTCTCTCTGCTCCAGCTGCAACGTGAAGCATCTCCAGAGGCGTCACGTGTGCATCTCCCGCCTGGAGAGGCCGCAAAACTGGGGAGAGAACTGCTGCGAGGTCCGCTATGTCATCTTGATACTGGCCCCACTCAAAATGGTAACTGCCGCCCCCGCAGGGAGGAAATGATATGTGGGATTCATCGGTCGTCGGTGGATTACCGAGGCGTTTGTACATCAACCAGCTTGTTGCAACAATTTATTCATTATATTCTAGATAATTTGTTTGTATGTATTCTCACTTCTCACTGGGAGTTCAGTTGCTGATGTATTCCTCTTTATTCATTTAATAATTACTTCCTTAGGTTACGCTGTCAGTATATTCTTCTGTCAGTTCCATTATCGCTCATCTTCGCTTGAAACTAGACGTCGTGTGCGGTGCTTCAGCTGCAGGTGCGAGGATTAGTAAAACCCAAGTCGCCATGTGATCGATGGACGCGTCCCGCTGCTATAGCATGAGTAATTGATCATTTGCATATCCTCCTCTGCTTTCAGCGACTCTATTTAAAACCAAACGTATTTTCAGTTTCAGTCAAAACCTGCCTTTGCAGTTTAGGAGTCTTAAAAGCAAACTCCAGGCTGAGTGAATGAGAGTGGCCACGTTCTGCTGGTGTATTTTTTTTATCCCAAAGTGACTAAATGTTTTAAATTACTCCGATCAGCACGTTACAAAATAAAAAAATAAAAAAACAGATCCTATTAAGACAACGCAAAAATATTTTGGTTTGTTTTAAAATAGAAAAGCTGCTGATTATGTGCCACAGTAATTAAAGTAATAAAAACAAATTAACAGTTAAAACTCTTTTCACTTTTATCTACAATTATTAATTTCGAATCACTTAAACTATTAATGCTCCTGACAAAGCCACGAAGCTGCCGAATGTCTGCTGAACACATTCCAGTTGAAGAGCCTCTCTGTGTCGCGTGTGGGCGCGTGCCCTGTCAGCTGAACCTGTCGGGTCACTGTCATGTGCAGGTTCGCTGTTTTCTCCGTTTCTGAAGAGCTCGCTGCTGCCGAAGGAGAGTGCAACATATCCTGTAATACCCTTCCATCCCATCACAACACTAACTCTCACCGCTTCCCATCAAACCACTCAACCCTCCTGTCCGTCTCCGCTGCCTTGTCAACACACACACACACACAACTCTAAGTCTTCAGGTGTCTCTATTTTCCCCCCCCACACCTCCAATCACAGTCAGTACGGTTACGCCTGCCGTCCAGACCACACCAGAGTTTTCCAGCCCCTTAATCTTGAAAAGTTATTAAACGCCGCTGCCCTTGGTTTGTTTTCAAAACTCTGGGACTGTGTTTCTGTCTGAACAGGTTCTCATTAGTCGCTTTTTACCAGCGTCGAATGAGAAGCGTCGCTAACACTTACTGTCACGTTTTTCACCTTGTCGTCCGTCCAACAACGTTCGCCTCCCGTTCACTTTACCTCTGTTGGTGATCGGGGACATAAATCATTCTCTTCCTGAGGCTTTGCGTGAAGTTCAACTTCATGTGACGGATTTTTAGTTTGAAATGCTGTTTGTAGCGTGAGTTTGGTTTCGTCTGCATGAACCCGTCTTTGTGTTTCACCGTCCCTTCCAGTCTCACAGCAATCACAACCACTAATGGTGTTTTCAGAGACTTTAATAAACGTAAATCACTATCACGTCTCAATTATTCTTGATGTGACTGCTCTCTGCCAGAAAAGAAAAATCCTTGAAGTGGCATGATGATGATAACGATGATAGGAATTCCTCTGGTTGGTAAATGTATGTCATCTAGTATAAGTATGCGTGGACTGTTTCCATCAGCCACCATTTAAAGAGCTTTACAGCATTTGTGTTGTTGTTTTCTGTTTCTACAGACAAGACTCGCTCAGACAACCTCTCTTCAAAAACGCTGTTTCAAATTCACTCCGTTAAACAAACACTTACCTGAAAGTACCCATCAACACATTCATGCACTGTTCTCCTCGAAGAAACTCCTCCGGTTCTTTTTGTGGTTTGAGAAGCTCTCGGTGTCAACGTGGTTCATCAAACCAGCGATCTTCAAATTTCACACTAATCCTGCATCGAAAAATCTTTTGAGTTTTAAATTCTCAGACATTTGTTCTTTGTGTTTCGTGTTAAGTCTTTAAGAGGAAGTCTTTGCTCTGGATCAGCCTCAGGGGCCACGTCTTATCTTAAAGGTCCAGTGTGTAGGTTTAGGGGAAAGGGATCCATCGGCAGCAATTTAACATAAAATAATCCTAGTGATGTTTACCCCAGTGTGTTCCATCTAAATTGTATGAATTGTAGTTTTCTTTACCCTAGAATGAGCTTTTCATGTGTAAATAATTTATATTTAAATCTGGAGCGGGTCGTCTCTGCGGAGGCCGCCATGTTTGTTACAGTAGCCCAAAGTGAATAAACTAAATATCTATATAGCGACCACAGGTTCTCCTTCATGTTTGGAAGGGGAGGGTGAGGTGAGGGGTATCCAGCTGCAACATGACACTTCACCACTAGATGTCACTAAACTCTACACACTGAACCTTTAATACGTGTAAACCTGCTCAAGTAACAGCCCAAAAACGTGAATATGAGGATAACATGTCTCCTCTGCCTCTGAAATCTTATCTGACTGAAGGTGGGGTATCCCCGTGCCTTCACACATTAATCAAGATTTAATCTCCCAGCTCTTCCTGCCCTGGTTAAAATTCAGTTACCACTTTGAACAAGCTTAGAGGCTTTAGTTCCTCTGTTTGCTGCAGCTGCTTCTGTGCTACGTCGGTATCCTCACCACCTGGCTAACAAGGCTTCCCTGGCACCGCGGGCACTCCGAGGCTGCCAGCACAATATTACCGTCACTCTGTTGCACTTTGTGACTCGGGACACCATCGTTTTCTAACAGATGTGGGATTATTGAGATAAAGCCAGCTCCAAAACGTCCTGCATAGCTTGTCACACTTACCATTGAAGGTATCAGTAATTAATTAATTAGCAGAAAGTGAAGATGAGGTTTTGGTCCATTCTTTGACAAACGTTTGTCACTGACAGACTTTAATACTTTGAATAAATAGATAGATAAATGTCTCTTGTTTCATGGTTTACAGTGACCCGACCATTCAATGAAATACAATCACAATATAATTAAAAATAGATTAAAGAGAATTATTACTGGATTACATTCACTCTTGTTGCGCTCAGCTTCTTTTGCAGCTGCTCAGGTTTTGAGGATCACATTGTGCCGTGTCTCCTGGATGTATGAGTGGGTAACTGTTTGCTATCATGGCGCTCATACGGCTCTTTTGTGATTTTAATCTTCAACCACTTCTTTTCTTGTCTTCTCCAGAAAAGCACCAAGACAGCGATGGAGCTGGGCAGGACGTTCGCCACCCTCTTCTCTGACATTTCCTTCAGGCAGAAGCTGCTTGAGACAAAGACGCAGGAGGAGTTCAAGGAGGCGCTGGTGTTCCAGAGGCACCAGCTTACAGCAGTCAACCAGCAGCCCACCGCTCTGGGGAAGGAGGAGACCGACCCCCGCAGTCACAAACCCCTCAAGGTGGGCAGTGGCGTGTGTGTGAGACGCACATCCCACGTGCACGACCTTTCAGGGTTGGGCGATTAGGCACATTTCCAAACATGTAGTCATATGACAGCATAGTGAGTCACCCCCAGCAGCCTGAGATGTTGACACTCACTAGTTTTCTTCTACATGTAAAATTTTTGAGCTGTATCCCCGAGTACGTCTCATCCTCACGTTCCTCCTTCACCTTTCACTTTTCCTTTTATCATCTCTTTTATTTCATTAAGGCATTTACACATTTAGATTTCAGCAATATTACAATTTTGTTATAATAATAATAATAATAATGATAAACTTGATTTATATCGCACGATTAATGCGTTTAATTGAATTTTTAAGGGAGCAGTTAAAACATTTATGAAAAATTGAAAATACGATAAAATTGAAATAATTAAAGAGACTAAATGAAATGATTTGGTAAAAACACGTCAGGAGAAGTTGATGCTTGAAATCTTATTGCAAGCCAAGGACATGGATGTAATATCTGAGTCTGAGGCTTTAACACCTGTCGATGCACGGGAATGAAACATCATCCACCTCCACTGTATTTGCCAAGAAGCATTGATTAGTGCGTCATTTCATTCTGCGTTCCTACTGGTTGTGTACTTGACATAGCAGCCGTCACATGACGAGGTCGTCCTACTGAATGTCTCACTCTGTCAGGATTTTGTCCCTGAATATCTGTGGTCAACAGCCGTCTTCGAACCTTCCTCACAGTCCAGCTCCAGAACGGCCGAACTCATCGCCCCAGATTCCCACAGTGTGTGTGCTCGTCTTTTCAAGGCTCTGTAGAGAAATGAGACTATGCACATACATTTACATTTTTTATTTTTTATTTATTCTCCTTCATCTCGTTCTCCGCTCGTAACCACCCTCTTCCTCTTCCTCCTCCTCCTCCTCCTCCTCCTCCTCCTCCTCCTCCTCGCTCAACTGGCTTGACTCTTCCATCTTTTCTCTCCTCCTAATCAATCAGCATCTACTCCTGCCAGGCCTCCTCAGTGGGTAAATGACCTTACATCTCTCACATTCCTGTCAGAACTCGCCAGCCCTTAGCTACACGTGCACACACACACACACACACACACACACACACACACACACACACACACACACACCTCCAGAGGGGCTCTGCCGTGGACCAACATCTCCTCCTAATGTTGCTGCTGACAGACCGGACATTTCCTGTTGTGTTTTTTTTATTTTATTTCTTGTTAGGTGTTTATCCCAGGGCTTGAAAGGCTCAGTGCCACTCAGTGGAAGAGGGATCTATAGAAAAAGACCGATGGAGGGGAGAGGGGGGAAGAGCGCTGGAGAGAGAGCAGGTGAAATCAAGAGGAAACAGAAAATGATAAAATGAGGGAGAGAGGCAGAAAAAGAGAAACCACCCACTTTTCGCCACATCCGAAATTGACATCGGACCACCCGCAGCAGCTCAGCACTTCACTGTACTTAAAGAAATGAGGCCAAATTGTTGTGTTTTTATGTTTTTTCCTCACTTTGTCGATTCTTCAGGACGAAACCTGGCAAACAGGTGGAGAGTAATTCCTCTCTGAGACTTTTGTTTATCGAGCCTGAGCCGAAAGCTGGTCATCAGGCTGCACACACACACACACACACACACACACACACGTACACGCACGTACACGCACAGAGGACACAATCACAACCTCTGCTGTAATAATACATTATTTCCATGATGTACAGGGATTTAACAGATGAACAGTCCTTGTTGAACATGCATGTGCAGCTTGGTAAAACTTGCCAGTCTGCACAGAGAGAAAGAAAAAAAAAAACGAAACGCTGATGCTGTTGTTTGTTTTCATGTCGTTTGTGTTGAGATAAATTACTCTGTTCTGCCAAAAACTGCCAAAACTTTTTACAATGACAAATGAGGCAGAAATTATTTTTCCCAAGAGCTATACGTACTTATATTCCCCCTCGTCGTCGCTCGATCCATTTAATTGCATAATGCTATGTTCAACAGGAAAACGGAACATTGGGTAAGTGGATAATTTACTTAATAAGCTCAGTCAGGGCTGCACGTTTGTTCCCGATCTTCTGTAACCTGAAAGCTCATCTTTTTAAGAAGCCCTTCACGTCCCCTCTTGAATCACGTGGCCCTCTCCCAGTCGTCCTCCTCCTGACGTCTCTAAAATGACTCTAAATCGTCCGTCCCTCGCTGTTGCTGTTATCTCTCTGTCATTCTTGATCATTGTGGGGACACAGGGACGTTTAAAAAATGTAAACCCTCCCGCGCTGCTCTGCGTACTTTGTCTTCGTATTATGCAATTAAAGATTTCCTCGGACTACCTCGTTAAATTTGATTGCTCAAATCATCTTTGAGAGAGAGAGAGAGAGCACCCTGTGGCATCACCAGCGTCTTAGTGGAATCCTCAAATGGGCAATTTTTTATTTAAATGTGTCGTTGTCCGCGAGTGCAGAAGAAATTACTCGGTCAGTGAAGCCTCTGGACATAGATGCTGTTTTTTGGAGCCTAATTGTCAAGATGCCTAAAAGCAAAATGTCAAAATTACAAAAACAATAACATGTAAACTAGAAAAGCGCGTACGTCCACCAAGGCCCAACAGTCCTCTTATGAAACCATATTTATATTCAGTTTTATTTGGGATGACGCTCAGAGCAAACCAGTATTACTACAACTACAACTACAGCAATAGACAAAACTGCAGTTGCGTCACTTTGGCTGCAGGTGGCCACTTTAAAACTCCAGTGGCTGTTTGTGTCTTTGCCTGTAGATGGCGCACACTGGCATGTCCCTCCGCAGCTGTCACTTCTCTCGCCTGTAGGCGACGGAGGTTGGACGGAGACCGATCCTGTTTTCAGTCACTTGTCATCTTGGAAACTCTGTGTCCTTGTTGAGACTCTAACCTTCCTCCTTCTGTCCACAGTGTAAAGATTTCTTCAAAGCCGGCCGGGGGATTTATGAGGACCTGTGCCGCAGACTGCCCTTCTACCCCTCTGACTTCACAGATGGTAGGCCGGACTTGGACTTGTAGTGAAAGTGAATCATCTTCCTTATTATGCCACAACAGGGTGCTGCTGGCAGCTCCTCATTTATCTGTCACCCTGCGCCTCAGATGCATCTGTGCTGCATCTGTGTCACATCCAGGATCTTCCCCTGCTAAAACGACTGTCTCAGATGTTTTACTGCTGCCATATGTTCACATATGTCAAATATTATTGTCTCACGTCCAAAGACGGTGGACAAGGACATTGGCCTGAACATTCCAATCGCAAAATCAACTGATAGTGTTGTTATTTTTCATCATGTCGCATTAAATCAAATTAGCAAATGTATGAAAGAGTTTCCGTCGTTGTCGGTGAAGATTTTCTATCATTTTTAATTGTAACTGCTCCATTAAACCAGGTACTTTGCCTTGAAAAGAGTAAAGTACAGTGAAGAAGAAGAAGATGAAGAAGGGTTTTTCTCTCTGGATTCTCCTCCTCCTCCGCCGCTCCCTCTCAGCCCTCTCTCATTTCATAATATCCAAACACATTCATTGGGCTGTAACAAAATCAAGATATTTCTGTCTTGTGAGTGTCATCAGATAATGATCATCTGATGAAGGTCACAGGACCAGAATCACTGTGATCGCATTAGAGCCCAATTAAAGTGTTTTATTTCAAAAAGGAGTTATCCATCATTCGGATGGACGATAACTGCTCTTACAACATGATGGATCGCACAAAACGGAAACAAATTACTCTTATTATTATTGTGGGGTTTTTTTTAAAGGGCCAACAGGCAGTGAAAGCCTTTTGTAAAATAGTTTTACAGTAACTGACTGAATGATGAAGTCCACTAATGTTTTTGTCAGTTTTGAAATTAGAGTGTTGAGCCCCCTCCGCTCCGTTATGAGATTATGTGACTCATGTGTTTGTGTTTATCTCCCCTCAGGTATAGTTGGCAGTAATAAAACCCTGCTGAAGTACATGACCACAGCCATCTTCCTCTACATCGCCATCCTCCTCCCCGCCATCGCGTTCGGCTCCCTGAACGATGAGAGCACACGTGGCGAGATCGGTACGAGCACGTTCTTGCATGCAGACACGTGAGCAGAGACTCTAAATGTCCTGTTTGACAGACTCGCATCTTCACAGGGAGATTTTGTTCCATTGATTCAAACTGAAAATTCAGAAACAAAACAAAAGCACCAGTGTTCCTGAGATGATGTTTTTAGTCAGTTGAATTGATGATTAGTTAATTAGTTGTTCAACAGCAAAAAGCACGAGTACCTTTTAGTTTTCACTTTGACCTTGAACTATGTTTTGGCATTAGAAACATGATATTATATTATAATAATTATATTAATCAGTTTTTCCTCCTGTGTTTTTTCTGTGTGTTTCTTCTCTGCGCAGATGTTCGGAAGACCATCATCGGCCAGAGCATCGGCGGGGTCATCTACTCGTTGTTCGCCGGCTCTCCTCTGGTCATCCCTCTAACCACGGCTCCCCTCGCCATCTTCATCAGCGGTAGGCTTCCCCTGTCATTCACCTCTGCCAGAATAAAGTTTGGTTTAAGAAGGAGGCGGTGGGTGGGTGGAGGGCTTAGAAGATTAGGTCAAATCTCTGCGATGCACTAAGGCGTGTACAACAACTGCAAGAAACTCTTACGCCCTCATCTGCTTCCTCTTTTAGCAGAAAACACGAATTTAGCCGTTTCTTGACACATATATCCAAAATGTTCCTGCTCCTCCATGTGTCTCTAAAAACCAACAGAAATAAGAACTGACATTAGATTTGGTGCTATGCAAATAAAATTGAATGGAATCATGTAACGGTTGGTTTCAGGGTCGTAAAAACATGAAAAGTTAATATTCGGCTGCATGTTAACTATTACATGGTTTTTACCCGAAAGCAACATTCTGTTTGTTGGAATCTAAACGATCCTGAAGGCTGGAAGCTGCAGAATCGGGGGATGGGAAAAGCAGCAACTCCGATGCCAAGATGTTTTAATTCCAAAGCAGTTTGTTGGATTTGTGATGTGATGAAGTTTGAAGTAATTGGGTTAGAGGTGTGTAAAGTACATCCTCATGGGGATGATCACAGCAGATTTCCAGGAGCCTGTCTGAGCAGAACAATGGCTGGTTTGTGAAGTTGTAATTCATCTTTGCACAAATATGCTCGAGATTACAATTGAATGTTTGTAGCTTTAACAAAAACATTGCAATCCTTTAGTGTCATGTTGTGTGTGTGTAGTTTTAATCGTTACGTCTCTGCGTCTCTCTGTCTCGTCTCTGTGAACCTGGCATCTCAAGAACGCCGCGAGGGAATACACTCACTTTGACTTAATGATGAACTGGCTATGTTGGTGGTCGAAGGTCAAAGGTCAAGGTCACTGTGGCCTTACAAATCAAGTCTTGCACAAACATTAAGTCGGACTCAAAGATGATCTGATTTGATTTTGGCGGTGAAGGTCGCGGTGACCTCATGTTCGCGTGAATGTGAAATATCTGGAACACCCACAGAGGATTTAATCACATCTCGTCATTTAGCTTTTATCCAAAGCGACTTACAATTGGTGCATTCAACTTTTGCGAGGGGCCATTTTATGGGGTTCAGCATCTTGCCCAAGGACGCACAAGGGCTGGGATTCGATCAGCCGACCCTCTGGTTGGTTCGGCCACAGCCTCGGCCGCCCCATGAAATCTGGCACAAACAGTCGCTTGGACTCAAGGATGGAGGGGAAATTACCAGCTCACTGTGACCTGACAAAACACGAGAGAAGGAGCTCATCCTCACAGAGTTTCTGTCTTTTCAAGTTACACAAATTATCCAACAACAGCCACATCACGAGGGGACGACTGGTTCACTGCTGCCTCGTTAGCAAAAGAAGCTAAAGAAGCTGTCAGTCCTGAGGATGTGGGAGCACGTTGGTGATGATCAGACGTTTCGTGATTTGTGTTTACATTTCTGTCTCCGTGTGTGTTTGCGTTCACGTGCGCACCTCGCAGTGATCCGAGGAATCTGTGACGACTACAACCTGGACTTCCCGGCGTTCTACGCCTGCATCGGCCTGTGGAACTGCCTCTTCCTCATCCTGGGAGGGATATTTAACGTCAGCCTGCTCATGAAGCTCTTCAAGAGGTATCTCTCACACGCACTCGCACGTCAGACTCACTTTGATTGTTTGTCGTTTCATTGCCGTCCAATTTATTCAATCAATTATTAAATTTTCTTTCATGTGTTGGCATGCCTCCTCCTCTGTCAAACAGAAAAAATGTTTTAAATTGGACGTTCACGAACAGCGTCTGCTGCGAAATCACCGGCACTCAGGAAAGTCTGTCTGCATTGTGTAAGAAAGACGTCTGTCGCCTGGGACAGCCCCGGCGGTGGAGATATTTTACCAGTCTACACGGGTTAGCTAGCAAGAATGGAATGATTTAGAAAAAATCTTAAATTAGTATGTGTTGAATCTCTTTCATGGAGATTAGTTCACACTGACTGACGCGAGTCTTTTACTATGACAACCTCGCTGCGGCCTCTGTAATGTTCCTGTGGTTTTCCAGGTCGACGGAGGAGGTCATCGCTCTGTTCATTTCCATTGCATTTGTGGTGGATGCAGTGAAAGGCACCGTGAAAAGTAAGTTCCCGACGCACATGACAGATATCCTCTTCCTCTTTGCTCTTCTTTGTTCTCACCGCTCGGCCCGCGGCCTGTTTACATCACTGTCTTCGCTGGGTCATGTGCTTGTGCTGTAGTTCCTTCCTGATGCATCGCTGGTGTTTTGTCCGTGCAAATCAAAAGCTTGAGGTCGGCTCAGACTAATCAGAAACATTCGTATGATGCCTGCTGTCGGATCCACCGCCTCGCTTCGTTCAACGTCTCGGCTGAGGTCCGAAGTCAAGAACTCTTCTTATCTTCTATCGTTTAATGCTAATTATCGTTGGCTTTTCAGATTTCACACTTATTCCTCTTTTGTTGAATAGTTGAACCAGTGTGGTAAAAGCAGTTCCTCTCATTCAGACAGATGAGCATTTTACCTGAGTAAGAAAACTAGCCGTCCTCAGTTTGGCGGTGGAACGACAGAAAACATGCATCACTTCCTGTTCCTCTGTTGTGTCGGCAGAGCGGGAGCCTGAGAGATAGAGTACCATGTACCAAATTAATCAATCCAGATTTCGAACCCAGCCTGCAGCCATATTACTGCAGCCCTGCCTTTACTGCACCTCATCTTAGTATATCATAAATATTTTACACAATTTAATTTCCACAAAATGAGATGACGATAGCGGAATGTAATTTGTTTTGAATGCGATATCGTCCTCATTTTTTTGAGATTGCCGGTGCAGTAGTAAAATATGCTCCGAGCTCATATGCCATTACCATAACATTAACCTGTGACATTGTGTTGACACTTTTCCTCCCAAATATTTTCTGGAAATCGAATCGAAACATTTCGTCTGTGCGTTCAGTCTCTTTTTCTACGACTTTGTCCGCTCGAAAAACTTTCTCCAGGTTTGATCCATTTTTTAAAAAGCCGGCAGCGGGAGCTGCATCCAGGATGTTTCACGCTGAAAGTGATGATAGAAACTACTTGTGTGTGGGACTCTGATAGGAAAGGTTGAGCCCTTCATCTTATTTAAAGGAGCTGGAGCGTTTCTCGACAGAGTCCGTTGTCCCAGGAGGAGAAATTAATAATGATTGTTGGGTTGTTTATTCTGTCATTCCCTCTGATCTCGTCTGATCTGGGTGTCAGGGATGTTTTCAGGAGGCAGAGTCCACAACTCACTCAGTGTGTGGTGTCTAATGATTCTCCTTGTTTGACCTCTGATCCAGATGCCGACTGTTGTCATCGGGATTATTTTAAACGTGTTTGATGTTAATCACTGTAATTAGAAACTCTAGCGTCACGTGTGTGAGCCGATAAAGAAAAACAGGGCAGTTCGCCTCGCGTTAATATTTTTTGAGTTGATCAGGTTTTTATTGCAGAACCACAGCTCAGCAGACTCATCTCATTTTTTATGAGGGTCTCTCTCGTGCAGCTCTCCCTGAAGACTCCGCAGTTTTTGCCACCAGCTTCTTTACAACAAACATTTCACCTAAATTTAGTATTTTTCCTGTTTCTTTCTGTTCTGACTGCAGCATAAACAACACGAACTGTTTGGAGCTGATTGTTTTTTGCTCGACAGTCAAGATGTCTCGCAGGATTTCAGGGGTTAACCAAACAACAAGGCCGTAATGGTCGTCGAAACCATCGCTCAGTGCGTCTTCCTCTGTATTTACTCAGATGTTTAATTCGGGCTTCTCTCTGACTGTCAAGACTAAATAAGGCGAAGAGTCTGCTGCCGCATTAGTGGCTGTGCGAGGCTGTACTTAGTCGCAGCGGTGCTTTAAGTTAAAAGCACGTTTGGCTGGTGTAATGTTTACCACATTCACAGTCTTTAGTTTAGCATTCTATCATGCCAGCATCTGCTGCTGAGCACAACACACCAACATGCTGAGGCTTGGCGTTGAGAGAGTATTTGGAATTTGTAAAAAAAAGTTAAAGAAATTTGTCGTTATGAATCATGTGGAGGTCAACACAGATCACCACGTTCGATTTAATTTATTGTTTCAGTGTTGGTTAATTTCCCTCTCAGTCTTTTCCCTGCTTATCTAAAAAGTGTGGTTGTGATTCAGTCTTTCACAGATATTACCACGCTCCCACGCTGGCCAACAGAAGCATCGAGGACCTCCCGAAGGCCGGAGACCTGTTGGGAGGAAACCAGAGTGAGGTGGCGGCGGGGTTGGTGCTCAACGCCCTCCCTGAATCCCTCATCAATTGCACTCGGGAGAGACCTGTCCTCTGCCTCCTGCTGATGCTCGGGACGTTATGGATGGGTTACACCCTCTACCAGTTCAAGAGGAGGTACGTGCGGCGCTGCGGCGCTGCGGCACTCCTCCAGATAAATCACTGGAGAAGTCTACATCGTGTTGCTGGCCGCGGTGAATGCAGCTGAGTGAGGGCTTGACTCTAAATATCGTCAGTAGTGACAGAGCTCGTAGGAAGTTTCCAGACAAGCTTTTACAAAACCCCCTTTTCTCTCAAAGGTTTTGTTCCAGCCCGTGATTCGATAAGCATTAATATTCTCCTTCTGATTGCTCCCAGTAATCAAATCAACCTCAAAGCCGGATTCAATTGTGTAAGCAAGAGGCAGACCAGGGTACTTAAACAGTGTCAGGATTGCAGCCATTGTCCTTGTCTTGTCCATAGTAATTGCATTCCTTTATTATTTCTCTCTGTCTCTCTCTCTCTCTCTCTCTCTCTCTCTCTCTCTCTCTCAGTCCGTTCCTGCATGCCAAAATGAGGGAGGTGCTGTCGGACTGCGCCCTGCCGATCTCCGTGCTCATGTTCTCCTTCATCGGCTCCTACCTTTTCAGTGACATTGAGCGTCAGTATCATTTGTTGCTTCAC